GCAGGTTTTTGAGCATGAATGACTGGTTTATGGTGATGCCTGTCTCAATCAAATGAACTAGGCCACTCCAAAACCTTCATTTTGGTCTTCTTGAAGCATTCACTGCCATTAGAAGTGGCTTTGTAACAACTTTTTCCACACGGGGCCAGGTAGCTTTGTTCGCTTAATAACTGAAATCATTTAAAAACTGCATTTCGTATTATCCCCACAAATCTGGCTAAACTATATAGAGGTACTTACTTCCGTTTTAGATAATCATAACCTATGTTTTGTCCAAAACTTGTTCGTTTATACCAGCTAAAAAGTTTACACTCACCTGATCAACATTAGAATTAGAAATAACTCACTTTCCTGATCGATGTAAATACCTCTCACATGAGACAAAGGCCCAACCTCAAATCTACAAGTAGAGCTAACTAGGTTAACATGGTATGAAGACTACTTTCTGATGCCCCCTTATTTACAAGTGGTCAGCACAGCTTGTTTGGATTGGACAGACTTTTAAGCAACCACAAAGAGATCAGATTCTGCTCCCGGGAGTGTACTATAAATCACTGCAGTGCACTCCTTTGAGTTCAAATTATGAGCCAGCTTATGTATGTTACGTTCAGCTCCTCCAAAGTTAGCTAAGAAAAGGCTTCTAGAACTGTTTACGAAAAGCCACGTTTTTCGATTTATATAGCCTAATGTGCTGTCCTACCTCCATTACTATTATGTTACTACTAAACTAAACTTGAACTGGCCCGAGTATTATTACCTATGCGGTCATTCTGGTCTAAATAACAGTTAGCTAACTCTGTTAGCAAGTGGCTAAGCTAGCTCGCCGTTATATTTGCTAGCAACGCTAAACAAGCGCACTGTAAACCGCCGGTTTTACCTCAGCGTCACTGCAGACATGTTGCGAAGCAGCTGAACAACCGAAGTCGTTCAAGTTTTTACACTTTCATAGCACAAAATAATGTGGCGCTTAATCTATGATCCACATCACATCCCACACATCCGTTAATGATAACAACTGAACCGCCCGTCAATGGATGTATTTCGCCTCTTTTTTTCCCTCTTTTTTAATGCGTACTAGTGAGCTGTCGCTCATTATCGCCATCTGCTGCCATGGCGTGTGCATGCTCCGTTGTGTTGTTTTCTACGGTTGTATTGCATGGCTTCTCCCTTTGGGATCAGGTTCCAGCCCCCCTTCCCTCCAAAACCACCTCAGAGAACCTGAATTGGATGAGCGTAAGAAAATGGATGGAAGGATTTAGGTGAATTTGAGTGAGTAATGCTCATTTTCAGCCATTTTTAAATTACTCTCCAGCTCATGTTTTTCAGTTTTCTAACAAAAAGTTATTAAATCTTCCCATAGGGAGTAGTCTGTCTGTCTATCTGTCTGTCTGTGGCTGACAGACAGACAGCCACACACACACACACACACACACACACACACACACACACACACACACACAAATGCCAAAGAATGTATTTTAGCTTTAAGTTAGAACAATTGTATGTTTTAATTTTACTTTCCTGAAAATAGTTCAATAGTTCCCGCAATTTCTGTTAGTCATTTGTTGGACAACTCTGTAATAGACATCAAAGCCAGATCATATATATGATAATATGTTTTAAGGGACAACAACAGCACTAACCCTGAAGGTCATTTTTCTGTACTCCAAACTTTATGAAAGGAGTAACTTAATTTATGACTTTGCTGAAAGTTGCTGAAAGCATGCCTTATATTTTTTAACGCAGCTGTAAATGTCTTTTAAAAAACATGATGGGATTCCAGAGCTGTAAACTTTGTGTGAACCTTCTGGTTTTTATGTACTTGTTTGCTTCAACAACAGGTCTTTCTTGTTATTTAACACATAAATTACACGCTATCTTCCCTGTTAGTATTCTGAGTAGTCTATGTAGTCTGTAAAATACCAGTAAAATGCCTAGTGCCCACACAGTCCCATTTTATAACACTGTCTGTCCCACATACTTTTCAAGTTACAGATCACATCTGCTTCTGATCCACTCACATCATTCCCTTCCACCTGAAGACAATAGGTAAAATAAAGCGTGGAAGATATTTAAATTTCATATTACTTGTTATTTTTCTGAAAAAAATCAGCCATTGTTAAATCTGTTTTCACTGTTATCTTAAAGATTACATTTGACAACCTCCAAATGATGAGTTTTGATACCTCAGCATTTATCAATAAAGGTTTGGTTTAAAGACCATCAGAACAGGGTTGCTGCCGCTGGTGGCAGTGGTTTAGACAGCAGACCAAATGTTTTTTTTAATTATAAGGTCAACAGTTTTATTTGTCTTCTATGAATTATGGATTCAGCTTGTAAATTTATCAGTGTTGTATAATAACTGTAGAGTTTTTAAGTCCTATTAGGAGTGTCCCTTAAGAGTGTTGTTGACCCACTATTGATCATCTGCCTAATCACACGAGCCAAGGTGTGAAAACAGGTGTGGGTCACTATCAACCGAGGTTTCAGGTGAACCCATTGTGAGACCTTGCCCAACCCTATCGTGTGACTTACTGCAATCAAATGACCTAAGATGTGAGTAGGCGATAAGGAGTCTGGGAGGGGGTGAAAGAAAATCTGGTACTCTCCACCATTTGCTCTTAGAACTGAAGATTCTCAGATGAGAGGTGAGTACAGATGCTTTTCTTTCCAAGCTCCTAAGAAAGTGTAGGTAAATCAAAGTACAAGAAAAACTCCCCACAATTTAAATATAAAGCGAAAACATAGTTAGGTATACTTTGAAAACATTTTATTAGAATTTAAAAATACTACATTTTCAACTGAAAATATTGCTGGATATATACATATATTTGTGCACTTGAGATATGACATGCCTATAAAGAATGTAATTGATTTATTATTTCTATAATTGTTCTAATAAATCAAATTAAGTAAAAAAAATGTTTAATACAAAAAGACTTTTCACTGATGTATTTTATTTCAGTTTACATTTTTGGTATGGATAACCCTCCATAGAGGCACCGCCTCTTTGGTGACGTCACGAAGGGCGGGCGAGCATTCCTGCCGTCTACTTTTGTCTCTACGTGGAGGAGGTAGGACTGCAAACTGGACAGTGTCTGGAATTTAAGGCGCACTAACAGTAAGTACCAATTTCCTGACAAGTTCTAGACCAGCACCTACTTATAGATAGAGTTTATATCAGTTTTGCTTATCAAAACAACATCCTTTGTCCCAAGCTTTCCTCCCTGTTATCCTCAGTTTGTAGGGATGGGTTTGCTGGAGTAAGCAGGGGTAGTTTCCTGCCTATGAAACTTACATGTCTGTCGCTAGCCGGCTAGCTCTAGCTACACCTTGAATGTAGCTCGTTCATCCTCTCGGAGCTGAACGAGTCTGAAAATGTTGAAATATTGCACTCTTTTACTCCTTAGTTATGACCACATAACTTTTGGAAAAAGTAACTACTGCTCAAAGACGTAGTATACATATACTAGTTTCATTGTGTAACTATGTATCACATTTATACACGAGGTTCACATTTCTAGTTATTTTTTATTTTTGTAGATGCGGGCTGTTTAGAAATTTTTGAATATGTAAAATCCTACAGGAAAAGTCAAGTTAGACAGAAGCAGGTTTGTTCCTTCATCACGCCGCCTCTCACCGGAGGAAGTATAGGTGGAGCCTGCACTATTTCTTTTAAGTAATTCTTTTTAATCTTCCCGCTCCACCAAGTTAGCATATAAAAGCCACATACCAGAACACAATATCACAGTCTGTAAATAAATCTTGTGTAACACATCTCTCTGCTCAGTGCTCTTTACTTGGCTGAGTGTTTCTCCTCTGTGTGTGTGTGTGTGTGTGTGTGTGTGTGTGTGTGTGTGTGTGTGTGTGTGTGTGTGTGTGT